CAGGCTTCCCGAGGCAAAACCCACCACGAGGAGGGTCAGGAGCGGGTCTTGTAAAGGGCGCCAGCCATGCAACACCGCAGCCGCCACGGCCAGGAGCAAACGAGGGACCACCCGGGCATGCAAGAGCGCCTCCAACTGTTTCAGTTCTTCGTCGCTGTAGCCGGTCCGAAACCAGCGGTTCTGGATCACGTTCTGCGCCAAGGCCTCCACGTCCTCCGCCACCACCACCATGCGTCGCATCACTTCCCGTTGCATGTCTTGGAAACTCGGAACGTCCAAGCTGTTCTCCGCCGAGCCTTCTTGTGCGGCCAATACCCGGGCAGCTTCCTCCTCCACCAAGAGAGCGGTGCTGTTGACGGCGTAGATGGCCCATTCGACGGCGGTGGGGGTCATGAGTTGATGGAGGCCGTGGCGCACCAATTTTGTGACACGCTTACGGGCCACAGATAAAAGGACGTCCGCTTCTGGCGATCGGCTTTCATAGTGCTGCAGAAGCTTCTCGAAGCTAAGGAGCGTGGAGCCAAGGGAGCGGTCCAACGTCCGCCGGAGCGCGCCTAGATTTTGCTCCATGGTAGGGACCTCGATGTCGATCTCTTTCAATAAAGTACGGGTACCGCGGGCAAGCCGTTGGAAATCGTCGGACTGTGCTATGTCCTGAACTTTGTTGAAGACCTTCGAGACCCGTTCCCAGGTAGATTTGCGAGGTTTTGGTGGAGGTGCTTGTGATGAAGGGTGTTCAGAGGCATGTGTGGGAGTCGCGCTCACACACACAGGGCTGGTGCACCTGTCAGGCCTTTGGGAGACTAAGATTTGCGTGGGAACATGGGTAGACTTATGCATAAATGCAAGCGGGCGCATGTGGTGGTGCCATGGTTGTTTGGAGGGGCTTGAAGTGGGCCTGTCGTCCGGCACTGGGAGGACGCGGGCATCCCTCGCAGCGGCGGCCAGAGAAAAAGGACGATGCACCAAAACACCAAGACAAAAGGCGAGACACAGGTGTGGCTCACATGGTCCCAGTGCTCTGGATCTCCGTCTACCGGAAAATGGAGGCATCGTTGCTTGTCTTGGCAGCATGAAGAGAGGGAAGGAAGTCAAGACTCCTATTTATGATCCGGCAGTGGCCAGATCTAGCTAAGGTCACGAGCTTCCTGAAAAGCCTGGAGAAACGTGCATGACAACGACTCGTGAGGGTCTTGTACACAATTATCTCAAAAAAGAGGTTTGTTCGAAAAACGACAGAGTGCTATTCATCAAAAGCGTTCGAGGCAGGGAAGTGTAGAGAGAATGGTTGAGGGCAGTCAGCGTCATGTCAAATGGATAAAGTAGTCCATGCTGGACGCATTCCTTCATCCCTGCCCCAGACAGGTCACCGTCCTCCAGTCCAATGCCTCAGATTACCCAGTCTTTCACACAGTGACAGCTTTGGTGGCCGTGTTCACAGGAATCGGAACCCTTCCGGTATAACGCGGACGTGACATGGGTAAGACAATAGGGGAGGTTAAAGTTATAGATGGCAAGGAAATGAGTCGTAGCAAGATTCAGCAGTAGACAGGGGTACAAGCTGCCGCGCTTTCCACCAAGCTCGTGAATGGATGTGAGCACAACACAGATTGGTGCACGTGGACAACGAGGGCCTACAGACGAAAAAGGCAAGAGACAGGTGTGCACCTGTGGCCCATCCCCTCTTCTGAGAAGAAGGCCCTTCCTCTTAAAAGCTTCATTTTTTGGCCGTGTAACTTTTTCACCTTTTTATCGCCTGGCGTCGTGCTAATTTGAGTACTCTATTGATGGCATATTTACACTTATCCATTCGCCTCTCAAGGCTCTTCATTTTCCCTACTTTTTGTATGCCAACCCCAGTGATTGCAGCATATGCCTGTCCTCTTATCCGACACAATCCTCCCTGCTTTCCTCCCATGAAAGTCGGGCTATACCTGCACGCTCATGCCAGTGTTGTACTTCTGTCAATGGTAAGATCAGTCGACCGGGATTGTAGGGCAGGGGCTGAGTGCGCAACGAGGGCAGGCAGGCCCTCCGCAGAAATTGCTGCACCGTCGCTTTTAAGCGTCCAGGACCAGTTATTATAACGATTGAGGCAGGCTGCGAGGCACTCAATCCTGGCGATGCTTCCGCGTCCTTCGTAAAGGCAATCTGGCCCCAGGTCTCCAAAAACATGACCAAGGCTAGCCGGGCCAGGGTGGGCCCCAGCCCGCGCAGCTCAAGGACGGCGGGGGCAGAGGCCTCGCCAATGGAAGGCAGTACCCCCGCCGCAACTCCATGCCCGTAAATACGACGCAGGGTGTCTTTGTAGCCGCGGGACGAGGGCCCGGGTTCAGAGGACCCCCGGGTACCCGCAGGGCCGTCTGTGGCGTCATGGAGGCTCAGCATGTAGCAGGCGTGTTCGTAGGTAGCCCGGGCAATGGGCACGTTGGAGGCCATCAAGGCCGTGATCAACCGATGAGCTTCCTCTTGTCGCTCCCTCCCCCCGCCCGTGGAAGGGTGCATGGCGACCAGTGCCCACAAACCCAGAGCCAAGTGCTCAGAGGTGAGGGTCGGGGGAGGAGAGGATAAAGGCCCGGTGCCGGGCTTCAGGACCGAGTCCACGACCGTCCGGGCCTCCGCGTACCGCCCGGCTCGGAGACATATCTCGGCTGCCGCCTGGGCCAATGCGGGGGTCAAGGGCTGTTGCCCTGCCCCTACACCATCTTCCCCCCCCC